GGGCCAGACTCCAAGAGCTGACATGACACCAAGCTAAAGTGGCAGGGACATAATAGTCAGCCACCTCAGTGGTGATGGCTCATGGATTCTACTCTTGGTCAGCCTTTCATTCCCTAATGGAACTCTACGTCATTTCCTGATGCTCTTTATCTTTGCATTGCATGATTTACTAATTGACTGATTATGGAGAGAGAGTGAGGGAGACAGTATGTATGTGTCTAGCTCAGGTAACAACTCATGGTCACCAGTTCTCTCCTTCCACCAGTGCTCATTCCCAGGTTCTTGGGCTCAGAAGCAAATGGAATCTCCCACTGAGCTATCTCCATGGTCCTATTATAGAAAACAAACACTTGCCCCTCAGTTTCTGAGGACGGATCCTCCCTTCTTTATGGGAAGATCTTGTCTTGTCCGTGGCTCTCTGGATACTGCCGTAAAGCTCTGAAACCTGGCAAGGGATGATTGCCTTGTTGCCAGCCTCCTTTTCAACAGTTTGTGCAGGATGCTTTCCTCCTATCTCCAGCCCCGCCCACCGTTCTCATTTTAGAGATCTCTAAAGGAGAGAGCATGTCCTCTGCAGGTGTAACCAGTACTTAGAGAAACAAATAAAACAGGCTCACTCTAAATGTCAAGAAAACATTAATCTGTTTACACTACCCACTTCTAATTATTCTCTAGAATGCTGTAAGTATTGGAGTTTATTGGGGGATTGTGACACTTACCTAATGGAAGAACAATGGAAGCAAAATCCTCAGCCTGTTGACTTTAGGATTGCAGCCACAGGTCTGTCAATTTTGTATGGGAGACTCAAACATCAGCTTCCTATCCATATCCTCTTCTGCAGTCCTACTGTCTCTAGACTTAGGGTCGCAGCTTGTGTCCCTAACAAGTCAGGTTTGACTGCTTGTCCTGGATGAACCCATAAAGAGAGCCAATTTAGGGGCTGGAGAGATGGCTCAGTGGTTAAGACCACTGTCCGCTCTTCCAGAGGTCCTAAGTTCAATTCCCAGCAACTACATGGTGGCTCAAAACCATCCTTAATGAGATCTGGTACCCTCTTCTGGCCTGCAGGCAGAACACTGTATACATAATAAATAAATAAACCTTTAAAAAAATGGAAGAGAGACCAAATTTAATAGTGAAAGCAAGAGAAAGGAATTTATCCGGTGTGACCACACTGAGATGGGGACAAAGAGATACAGTGTTGTTCCAAGTTCATATTCTTGTCTGTCTTAAGAGTATGGTTTAACTAGAAAGCAGGGGGAGTGCAGAGTTAAGCAATCAGGACCTACTGTGCCTCTACCAATCACTGGCTCAGCGCCAAGTCTCTCTTTCAAGGTTGCCTGACAAGTTGTAAAGTTGCTGGGGTTTCAGACCTTTCTACTTCCAAGGAGGTAATCCTAGCGGAACACTAAATTCTTGAGGCCCATTATTTTATAGTTGATGGCCAGAGAGGCTCAATGTATATTGTTTATATCACTGACCATTCCAATAATTGTAGTGCCATTAAATAGATTTAACCACCTGAGGTAAGTTAGTCCTGACCCACAGTGTTTTATCTTTAAGAAGGAGGTTATTTTGGGTGTTAGATCTGTCTTTGGAAATTAAAATAAAGAGTGCTTTGAGGCAATTATATGATGTTTTCTAAATCAAATTGCTTTGTGTCCCCCACACGGTTTTTAAGAGAGAGTCACATGTAGCCTGTGGTAACCTGAAACTTGCCATATAGCTGAGGATCACCCTTGAACTTCTGGTTCTCCTGCCTCAACTTCTTCATGCAGAGATTACAGGTATGTACCACAACATCTGGTTGATGCAATGCTAGAAATCAAACCTAGGGCTTTCTGCACACTTGGCAAGCAAACATTGGACTCTGTGAGCCACATTCCCAGCTCTTACTTAAGATTAAGAAATTGGAAAAAGGTAAACAATAGAAACAAGAAACAGGTGGCCAAAGTCCAAACATTAAAGTTATCTGAACTTAAACAAACTTCATTTCACAGAACGGTTCTATTTTGAATGTATTTCATTTTCTTGCATTACCCCAAAGTTTATGTATTTTTCTCTTCTTAGTAATAATGAATGTCCAACCTCTTTAGGTAGGATGATCCTTTTTCACAAGAAACAGAATTGGGTCTTTGCCTGTATTAGTAACTATAATTATCCTGAATAGTGTTTGCTGAACACAATAAGAGCATGTAGTTGCATTTGTATTTAATGGTAGTTTATCACAATACCATCCACAAACATTTAAAACCAGTGGTACATTTTCTCCTATAAAGTTTTACTTATTTACTATACAAACAGTGCTTAGTAGGCATGTAGATCCATAGACCCTTCCGATTGTTTTTGGGCCACAGCTGAGAAGTGACTTATCCTGAAGGAGCAGTTAATAACCTGTGCTTCAATGTCTTTGCAATGATGCATTTCCCCCACTATCTCTGCTTTTTACAAAGCAATTTATTTTGTCCTTGGAAAAGATAGTCTAATTTTTATAACCCAAAAATGCCCTGGGACATGATATCTGTTTCCTAATTAAACAGGACTTTTCAGATAATTTAGAGCAAGACTCGGAGGGGAAAGAATGCTATTTATTTTAACAGTGATGGTGAAAATATCCCATCAGAAGAATAAAAACTGTGTTCAATTAAAATAGATCTAAATTATGATTATCTCTGCCTGCTTGATCACCAAAAATGATTTTTACATTTAGGTATGGTCCAAAATGAAGCCAGGGTGGATCTTTGGACAATAATAAAGACACCTGATGGTGTAGTCAGTGAAATAAGTAGAATAAGACCACTACCTTCAGGGTTCCCAGGAATACAGGGATACCTTGCAGCTAGTTTCAGGGGAAGACTGAGCAATGTTTTCTTGGAAACTACTTTCCCCAAGCCATGAGGTCAGAATTTTATCTGTAATATCTATTTTTGAGCTTTATATATTCAGTGTTTGGCTTTAAAATAAATCTCAGCTTTTTAGACTTTCTTCACTTTTCAAGTTTATAAAATATAAAATGTTGAGCACTACCCTCATCAAAAATATCCTAAGAATTATGTGTAAGTTTTGAAGCGTTCATTCTTGTCTTTCAAAATGATCTGATAAACCATTTTCTTGGAGTTCCTTTTCTACTTTCTTTTCCCCTTCAAACAGAAGACTGCAGAGAGGAACAATCTATTTCACACCTCCACCTAAGAAAGAATGTTCATTTTCAAATTTCTTTTGGTGTCACAGCTTTGTTCTTTTTGTGTTCCTTTTTATCTTGCTTTAATAGGTATAAAGAAAAAGCAAACTCCTAAAAAAAGAAAGAGAAAAAAGCAGAGGAAAATGCCTTCTTTTAAGTATTAGCAGGGCTTTTATTAATAGAGTGATATGGTAAGGTGTCACCATCTGCTAAAAATTATATAGACTATCATCAGAGTCTTTCAAAGCAAGATCCAAACTATTACAATATTCAGAATAAATAAAATTTGTTGTTGCCATGAACATTTTGTATTTCTTCTCCAGAATGACTTTTTCTTTGGTAGGTCTGTTGGGATCTTGTGGGGATTAAAGTTGATGTGTTAACATTGTATTCTTGTGGCAACATATCTGAAAAAAAATCAGCTAAAAGGAGGATGATATACTTTAGTTCATGGCTTCAAAGGCTTCAGCCCATGTTCACTTCACTCTGACACTTCTAAACTTGCGTCAGAGTGCAAGCATCTTAAGAAAGGATATGCAGCAGGCCATAGCTGCTCATCTGATGGTGGCTTAGAAGCAAAGAGGAGGGGACTGGTTTTCGCTGCAAAACCTCGCCTATGAAATCCATTAAGGTGTGAGTCTGAAATGTGGTCCTTTAATGAAGTCAGAAGTCTCATAACCCAATCACCTCCAAAAGTCCCTTTCCCCCCTTCATCACTGTGGCTCTGCAAAACAAGTTTCCAACACATGGGCTGTTGCAGGGCACTGAAGGACCAAGCCATAACAAACAGCCAAGAAGGCTGGAAGCATGGTTGTGTTCTAGGATTTTCCTTCAGCACGGGTAAGTGGAGAGAGATCCAAGCAGGGTCCCTGGTCTTAGTGACCCCTGCCTTGTCAGAATCCTAATTTTGTCTTCTTCGCATCAAAATTAGCAACGGAATTAATGGAAGCTGTGAGCACGGTGTTTGGCAGCCTGTTCCTAGTCTCCCTTTTCCAGTGCCCCTATTCGAGTATTCTTAGGGTGAAACTCCTAACCAGCAGCTCAGAATCTGAGCTTCATGTGAACTGTCACACACTGTGTGGGTCAGGAACAGTGTTCTAAGGTTTAAAAAGATGGGAAGTCATGAAACATTTCAGCAACTCGTGTATGTATTTTTCCTGCTCGTACTTTCTTTGTGTAGGTGTCGTGTCTGTGTTCATGCGATTGATGGGAAATACAAATCAGAAGGAGCAGTTGAGTGCTTCTAGTTCATAAATCCCACAGCACAGTCAGAGTAGCTGTATGTGGCTCTTCACTCGTCCCCTAGACTGTATGACTCTCTGTGTTGTATTTTCTCTGGGAAGCTTAATGGTTTTGTGTGCGTGTGCGTGTGTGTCTGTGTGTTTCCAGATTATTCTTCCAGTTGTTCAATAATCATTTAGTTTTGCAGTGAAGGGTAATTTTAATTTGTTAACCATTTCATTAATTGTCATCAATGGGACTGTTTCATTATTAGCACATGTATGGTGGTAAAGGGTGTACTCTGTGAAATTGTATAACTAAATAGAAACAGCTGTTTGCACAATAGACTGGGCTTTCACACCAGAAACTTTCCTGGGCCAGCTCTTCTTTACTTGACGTGAGCACACTCTTCTCTTTCTCTCTTCAGAGGCAGTCTATGGCAGCTGATGTTGCCGGTATTTCATTTACTATAAAGGGAAGCAGAGGAGGGGGACGGTGCTGTTGAATTGCAGTGCGTTGGGGTGGACAGAATTCAGATGCATTTTATCCTCTGTGCGGGATCCATGTGTAAATAAACCCATCTCTATTTTATTCATAGTTCTAACGGCAAGTCTGTGTCATGGTCTGAACCAGGTGGAAGACAGGCGCCTAAGGGACAGCATGTGTGGCAGCGCCTCTCTGTGCACGTGAAGACCAACGAGACGGCCTGCAACCAAACGGCCGTGATCAAACCCCTCACTAAAAGTTACCAAGGCTCTGGCAAGAGCCTGACCTTTTCAGATGCCAGCACCAAGACCCTTTACAATGTGGAGGAGGAGGACAACACCCCTTCGACTCGCTACAGCCCTCCCAGCAGCCCTTCCATGGTAGTGCACCGACGCGGGCCACCTGTGGCCACCACGCCGCCTCTGCCGCCCCACCTAACGGCAGAGGAGACACCCCTGTTCCTGGCTGATCCTGGCATCCCCAAAAGCTTGCCTCCACCTCTTCCACAGCAGCAACAACCGCCACTGCCCCCTCAGCAACCCCCGCAGCAGCCCAAATCCCTGATGGACCAGCTGCAAGGCGTGGTCACCAACTTTGGCTCGGGGATCCCGGACTTCCACGCGGTGCTGGCAGGCGCAGGGACACCGGGGAATGGGCTACGTTCGCTGTACCCGCCTCCACCTCCCCCGCAACACCTGCAGATGCTGCCCCTGCAGCTGAGCACCTTCCGAGAGGAGCCCATCTCCCCTCCCGGGGAGGACGATGATGATGACAGTGAGCGGTTCAAGCTCCTGCAGGAGTTTGTGTATGAACGCGAAGGGAACACGGAGGAAGACGAACTGGAAGAGGAGGAGGACGTGCCTGCAGCCAGCAAGCTAACCCCGGAGGATTCACCTGCCCTGACGCCTCCTTCTCCTTTCCGAGACTCGGTGGCCTCTGGCAGCTCCGTGCCCAGCTCCCCGGTGTCTGAGTCAGTGCTCTGCACCCCTCCAAATGTGTCCTACGCCTCTGTCATCCTGAGGGACTACAAGCAAAGCTCTTCCACCCTGTAGGGGTGAAATGTTCATGGAGAAGCCAGAAATGCCAAGGAATGCCAATCCCTTTGGAAATAAACAGAAGGCTGAGGAGTCACAGGGATGGAGGACCACAGTCTGCAGGGGATAAAGAATGCTGAGGCTGCTTTTAAGAGAGAGAAGAAAGATGCCAAGTGAATAAGTGGTTCGGGCCAGGGTTGTGACTCTTGAATTATTCAAAAACCTTCTCTAGGAAGAAAGGGAATTATGACAAAGCACAATTCCATATGGTATGTAACTTTTATCGGGGAAAAATAATAAAACGTAAAAATAAAATCAACAAAAATAATCTCTTCGTTTGCTCAATTGTGCATACATATATCTGCCCACACTCGTCTTGGTGAAGCAGCCCTTGTGATGGTGCCAACTGAATCGTTAGTTCATCTAACAACATTCCTGGTGAATGGATAACGGGAGGACAGGACACAGGGACATAGATGGGACAATAGCTCCCATCTCAGAAGGCCTTCTCTGCTAAGGCTGCAGACTCCTGGCTAAGACAGACCCAGGCACTGACCTTATGAGGGTCCCTTTACTGCTGCGATCCAGTCCCAGCCTGCCGTCACCCTGGGATAAAAGCGCAGTAACACCTTGAATTTCTGTAATTGTCTCTGTTTAGGAAAATGGAGCTATATCGGAAGTGCTATGGGGAGAAAATGAGAAGCAAGACAATACATCTGCACGGGTCCTTGAGCGAGGTCAATACAATGAGCTTTGCAGATTCCATGCTTGTTTATTGATAACTTTGGAAAGGGGGATGATAGCAAAGGGGTGTCAGAGACCTTTTGTGGACTCACTTGTGCGGTGCCAACCAGGCTCTCCGTTGCCCTTCCGCAAGAGGACGAGCCACGTTGCCAAGTTTTACCTTCCATTTACTGTAGCAAATAATGCCAACGAGCGGGACTTCTGAGATTCAGTATAAGTACAATGTGGTGCCACAGTTTCTCCCATGCGCTATGGAGGCAAATCTCCCCTTGAAGCTAATGGTGTAGTCATAGCAACAATTGCTTTCCTATTGTCACTGGAGTCCCTGGAACTAGCAACTGAATGTGTTTTCCTGTGTTCCTTGTGTACTTGTGATTATGAAATTCGTGCCATGTCGTGTTAATCTAGCCGCAACTAGGAACTCGTCCTCTGGATATAGTATAAATATTTTTTATGTTCCAGTGATGGTCTCTACGTCACTGTCACCAGTGTCTCTTTGAAGGCTGCTGGGTCCGTGGTCAGATGTTTCTCAAGGGCAGCTGCGATGGAAATCCTTCTAAGTGGGGGTTTATTTTTCAGATATTTTACGATATGAGAATGTTATTAAAGAAATAGCTTGAAAGTGTATTGTGTAAAAAGGTCACCAGACAGTGTGTGACACTAAAAAGTACATTTTTTTATAGACTTGTGCACATTGTTATTAAAATGTGAGGTTGAAAGGCAATATTTAGAATATTTCAGATATATTTTTAAAAAAGTTTTTCCACGGTGACTTGAGTTTCATGGTCTTCTAGTGTGTAACAATACTCAATCAAGTCAGAGTGTCTCAACTATCTGCTTGTCAACCACGTTTCATTTTTAAATTTTTACATGTTTTATGTTTATGTTTTTGCTAGCATATCTTCCTTATGATCCCCTTATGTTTACTATTATGTAATATCCACATACATGTGATCCAATTACTCCATCTTACCCCTGCCTTTTCTAACCCCAAAGAAAAGGATTGTTCTTGTTATTTTTATTTCTTCTATTATTTGTGGGATGTATCTGATCCCTTTAAATATCTTTGTTTATGCCTTATGTTCAGTCATCTTAATTTGCTTTCTTCGTGTTGGAGCTACTGATTTCTCAGCCAAAAAAGCATCATCTTAAAATCTCTAAATACCCGAAGCATCATTTGTTTGGAATTTAACATCAACTCTATGTCAGAGTTGTGTTTCTTAAGTGTTCCACATTCTACCACCCAGTTTTTAGTGAGTTCCTTATCAAGAACTTCTGTCTTTTAAAAATTTATTTTTAAACAGTTTTATTGCAAAGACCTCAAGAATTGAAATGGTGGGCTCTGTGGTTTCATTATGAAGAACAGTATGAAAAAAAATAGATGATGCAGAGCTGGGCATGGTAGTACATGTCATTATGCCTAGAAGAACACGGGAAGTGGGGCTGAAAGAGCTCTGAGTTTGAGGCCAGTGTGGTCTACACAATGAATTCCAGGCCTGAGTAGAGAGACCTTGTCCCCAAATGGAAAACACAGTAACAAAGATGGTTCAATCTAAATAGACGGGTTTCTAACTAAATGGGGAAAACCATATTGCTTCCTAGGTCTTTTAATCTTGAGGCACCAACATACGGTTTTTGTTGTTATTGTGTTTTATGTTTTTTTTTTTTTTTTTGTCAGAATAGATGAGGCAATGCTGCCTATTCAAAATATGTAACAGGCGAGTTTGTTCAGGGGTTTTAGTCTGAGACATTTGGTGAACACATTCAATACTGATTAAAATATTACTGAATGCCTACTCTTAACATGATTATGAATCTTCCAGAATAAATAGAACATTAGCTCATATAATTGTTCAGAATTGGAGATGTACACATACATACCCTGTACCTAAAGGGCAAAATATCTTTACTGTAACGTATGTGCTTATACAAGGTGTTTTGCTTCTTGTAAAAGTGTTTTCCTTTGGCTTGTTACTGCCTTTTGTCAAATAATCTTGATGATGCTGTATCATAATAAATATTTTTTATTTATTAAATGTGCATATTCCTTCTTTGAACTTTCTAAGCACTACAAGAAGAAATAGGCCAGTGTAACAAATAAACTCAATAGTTTGAATTTTGCCTAGAACACATTTCCAAAGAGGAAATTTTAAACATCACACAAAATATGCATGGCAGGTCATAAAATAGAACACAGTTTGGCTTTAATGACATGTAATCCAAACTTAGAATTTCAAACCCTATGATCTCCATTGCCATTTTTCCTTTTGAGAGAATTGAAAGGGTTGGATATTTAGTGGAACTCTAGAGACATGGACTCCACCTTTGTCCTCTGTGTCTTTCAACCTTTTTTGTACCTGACTCACACTATAGGGGAACCTAGTTTTCCAGCTTCTTAATGTTTTTCTATTCTATGCCAGCCTCAATTTTAAATTTTAATGCTGACATCACAGGTGAGCTTCCAAACGAACTGGGCGTTCTTATTTTCGGCTCTAATGTGTCCTAGTCAAAGAGAGATCACAGTGGTAGGGGGAGCTATACCTGAGACTGTGAGGAGCCTGGTGGGCAAGAGCAAGCTTGTGGTGAAGACACCATCCAGAAGTGGGTTGAGTCCCTAGAGAAGTCTTCAATATGTCTGGTAGAGAGAATGAAAAAAATAAATTAAATGAAAGCTTAGAGTTCCAGAAAAATTTATAGAGTGAGAAGCAAGTAGCAAAGAAAAGTAAAATAAAAATATAAGGATGGGGAAGTAAAAAAAAATAGACGTTCATACTACAGTTTAAAGATATGCACAAAGATTCTCATGGTAGACCTGAGGATCAATTGGAAAGAGCCCAGAAGCTTTACATGGATGATCTTTGAAGAGGCCATGGCTGAGGTTCAGTCACCAGAAGTAAAGGGTGAGTAACTGTCCCATACTTTCTACAGAGAATATCCTGGAAGTAAATCAGAGAGCAGGGAAACAACATACGTACCTGCACCGAACAGGCACTGTGCTGGTTCTTGGCATTTATTTTCTTTCCAGCATTTCTGGCATGCAGATATTTTGGAGAACTGAAAAAATGTGTCCACACTCATCCATGTGCTCCATCTGAGCGCACCAGAGCATGTGAACTCCGGTTCCTTTACAGAGCTCAAGTGCATGCGTAGGAGTTGGTTCACTTTTGCTTGGGATTCTGATTCCTGAGCCCTAGAGACAATACTGATATCCAGTAAAGGTGTGCTGGGAAATAACAGTACATTCATGTTATATATCACACTTTTCTCAGTGCAGTACTCCAAAGATGTGTTCCAATATCCTTATGGGGTCCAGATCTCCACATATCTCCCCACTGATCCAAACTCTGCCTTCTGAACACATGTTCTAATCAAAAACATTAGGCTCTCATTTTGACAGAAGAAACAGCTGGTTCCCTTTCCTGCAGATGTGGAAGAAATACTTGGTATTTAGAGATGCCCAGGGAAGGCTCAGCTGATCGTGAAATAAATTCCTCTGTGGGAGAACTATAGGTAAGACATAAATGGCTGTAATGGGACACCAGTGTGAAGCCACATATGACTCATGCAGGGTTCCCTTTCTTGCAGAAATGCATGACTTCAGACAAAGCAAAAGGCAAATTCAGTTATGAGTTAAGGGAACAAGAAGAAGAGCTCAGGTAGGAGTTCCAACTAGTGTCATATTCTTGAAAGTGACTCCATCCCTTCTAGAATTTTTACATGGGAAGAAGAATGTATGTTAACTAACAAGGGGAAGAAAGTCTAAGAATGGAGGATGATTGAAACTGGAGAGAAATATTGTGATAAAGTCAAGACCTTCACACCAAAGGTGATGATCTCTTGTTATTTACGACTGGCTCTTCAGCCCCTGTTGACCAGAACCACAGAATCTTAATTCAAACATACAACACTTAACAGTTCTGATGGAATCCTTACAGATTCTCAAACTTCCCACAGAATTCTCATAAACCATGTCTCCATGGCTGCATTTCTCTCAGCATCCTCCTGTTCCAGGTTCCTACAGAACAACCTATTAAATCCTGAATGTGTGACTTTTCCAACCTTAGGTTCCAAACATTCCTACAATCCTCCCTAAAACTATATGGACAAGTCTGCCACAGTGATGCCTCTCCTCTGGTACTAGTTCTGTTGTGGTCAGATTTTCAGGCTGTGACAAAACACCATGATAAAAAACAACATGTAGAGGAAAGGGTTTGTTTGGCTTACACTCGGCATCATTGTTCACCACGAAAGAAACTCAAGGCAGGACCCTATTG